CGAGTTTGAAAATTTTAATCGATTTTAGTTTCGATTTTCGATCTTGGCGATTTTCGCAGTTTCGATTCCAATCCCTAGCCCAGATGTTTTCCTATATTTTGCTTTACATATTTTACTCCAAATCTTTCTAATGCCTCATCGAAAGCAAAATAATGACCTGGATTGGTAAGATTTATAGAACATACATAATTAAGTAATAATTGAAGAGATGGATCTTCAAAAATAGTATGAAGAAAATGAGTAACTGATCTTGCATAATTACTCTTTCCCATTATTGGAAAAAGTAGTGCAAATGCAACCAAATTTTCAAATTGCATATCGTAATTTCCATATCAAATACCTATTTTGTGTCCAATCCAATATCCACACCAACAAAAATATAAATGCCATACTTTCAATATATTGTTATCTTCATTTTGAATATCATCAAATGCTTTATTTTTATTCCTCATAATTTGATTTAAAGCAACTCTGACTGTTACCCAAACTAACTCTAAGACACGACATGTTGCTTGATAGTCAACAACTTTTTCCAGTTTATCTAAATAACGGACTCCAATACAAGCAGCTATATTAAAAATTCCATAACCCGAAAAAATAGTAATCAATATATTGCACATTTCTTTGCTTGTATTCTATGCACCAAGTATTATTCTTACTTCAGGATTTTGTTCCTGATATGAGATTAAACGACGAAAAATAGCTTCATCGCATGCTATATCTATATTTTTATTATTGCCATTTTTTGGAGCAACATCATAAATATTACTATAAGCGAAAGCTTGCTCTTTAAAATCGATGTTATCTATCACACATATGTTCCAAATATTTTCTCCTTCTTGTAGTCTCTTTTCTGGTTTAATTTTATCTATTCTAACCTTCTTCAATCTTCTTTCATGACGCTGCGTGCGTGTGTGAACCATACTTGCTATACATAAAATTGTATAAAGAGAGCTTATTAAATTTGGTTTTTGGCATAAAAAACTCATGATATGAGTAAGCCATACGTCAACACCCAGAAATGCAATTGATGGAATCATAGAAATGATAAAAACTGATATTTTTATTGAACGAGTTTCATCAAAATTCTTTGTTAAAGGCCCTCTTTATATACGTTTTTTTTCTGCGATTTCATACTTTTTCTTTGTAAAAAGGTTATAAGTCCACCAAAAAAATCTTTTAAAATTATAGGAAATCCACATTGGGTATTCTTCAAGTGATTGTGGAGTTTCAAGATTTTGTTTTCTTTTACGAACTTCAGAACGTGATTTTCAAATACTTATTCCAAAAACTTCTCCTACTTTTTTTGGGTTTTCATTTAATAGATCACTAATTGAATGTTCATCTTTTAATTTTCTTGTATTTACTTTTTCTATTCATAATATGATTTTCATGACATGAAAAAGGGGTTGAACCACTTCCTTTCCGTTTATATAAATGTCTTCCTTCTGCTTGAAAACATTCTGAACATATATAACATGCATTTTCATTTGTATTAGCTTCTTTAATAATCCTATCATTTTTAAAACTTGAACAAACTTTAAGTCCCAAACAAGGCACCCGCACATTTTGATTATTGATATTTACTAAATGTTCTGCACAATTCCTACCATGACTAAAAAAATATTTGTCTTTATGGCAAAAAAGACAGCGACGCCGACAAATGAAGCTTTCATCTATTGGCTGGAGTTTTTTTGAATTTTCTTATGTAGTCTATTCTGATCAAATGATAAGTGTGCCATACAGACACCTAAAGTATGTAGCATACTTTCGGGATTTGTTTGGTTAATTACAGCTTCATCGATTTCCCATGTCCCTATTAATTGACGAAGAAGACGGAGAGAATGTCCTGGTTTTTCATAGTTTGGACAATGTTTTATTTGTCCATCAAATATATCTACTAAAACACATAGAACGAGGTCTTTATTTTTTATATCAGTATCACTTATTAGATAGTTTTTATCTGTATCAGACTTTGTTGTTGAATTTGTCAAAACGGAATCTTTTTCAACTGAATCGATATCCTCCCATATTATATCGACATCATCATTATATTCATTTAAACTAGCTCTTTTTTAGCATTTAGAAATGCTTCATAATCAAACAAAAATTCACGAATGCACTGATAGTTGTAGCGGGTGTTGATGGAATTTCGCTTGTATTATCGTTATCAGTTGTAATACTATAATCATCATTTTCAAGCAATGAATTATCTTTATCGGGATCATCATATTCAAACTCATCGCTATTGATGTAATCCGCAAGAGCTCCTTTTTTCCAAAAAAATGTATTTTCACCTTCAAAAGACATGATAAAAAAAATAACAACTTTGAATAATTGTTTAAAAGTTATGGCCACTATTATGTTATCGTTATTATGTTGCTTGTTATAAAAGACGAATTAAAGACGCATGAAAGGTTAGCATTAACGTTAATGTTAAAATTACATCCTTGTAAAAGAAAAAGAACGAAATTACGCTTTTTTTCACATTTTCATATAAAAAATATTATTTATATCAGTCTGACTATGCTGATCCCTTATTAAAAAAATTAAATTTGACAAATTTGAGGTGTTACAAACAGCATCAAATTCCAATTTCACAAATATCATAATGATATCGATATATATTTTTTTATCATTGATTTTATTTTAATCAAAATCAAATAATTGAAATATTTCTATTTCTAATATACAGTACAAATTTGTTATTTAATAATAACGATAATTATAATAGGATAATTTTCTGTTTCATCATTACTATTATATATTTATTTCAGGAATCTATAAAATTAACGGATCTAAAGTATATCAATATCATTATACTTAAAAATTAGGAATTAAATATTTACTTTAGATAATCAAAATAATTTAATAACGTGATTTTTGTGAATCTCATACTTAGCGATATAGTTCTTGTCCAAAATCTTTAGTAATTTTGATGTTGTTTAATATAATCTGTGTTAACTTTAAGCTTAGCAATTTGTATAGCTTTTTTGAAATCTTTTAAAGTTAATTCAAGCTCTTCAGATTCGACTTCCATCCATATTATTTCTTTTGCGCCAGTGTTACCAGGTGAACAAGAAGTTAAACATTGCTTAGTAACTTTAAGATCATCTTTAAAAGGTAGTTTCTTCTTGATATACCCATTTGAAATGTGATTCAGTTTGAACTTTACGAATAAATTGCATTATAAAGTATCACGTACTACAACGGCAATATCAGAATCTGAATACCTAAAATTATAAAGTTATCATTAAAAAAAAAGTGCAAATATTCTGACAAGTATTCTAAATAAAATCGTCTTACCTTTCTGTCTTTTCGGTCAAATACATATAGTCATTATTTGTCAAAATAATAACAGATTTAAACTCAAAATCTTTGTCAAATGAATCCATATCTTCCTACCTTCATTATATTCATCCGAACCAGCTTTTTATTTAACATTTTTAAATGCTTCATTATCAAATAAAAATAGTTGTGGTGGGTGTTAATGGAATTTCACTTCGGTTGTAATACTATATTCATCATTCTCAAGCAATATACTGTCCTTATCAGAATCATCACATTCAAACTCACTACTATTTATATATTCTGCAAGTATTCCTGCTTCCCAGAAACGGGCATTTTCATTCTCAAAGTTCATGAAAATAATTTTTTTTTGAACTTTTTAAAGGAAGATCGTTTAAAGGTTATGACTGCTACAATATTTGTTGTACTATTTGTTCTAAAAAACAACTTAAAAGTATATTTTTTCTTAGTAATATAAGAAGGGTTAATTTGTTACATTCTTGTAAAAAACGAAATGAAGTTATGCTTTATTTATCTTTTCATATAAAAAACACATATTTTGTATCGGTCGATCATGCCGATCCCTTATTAAAAAAATTAAATCTGAATTTTTGGGGACAAATCTCGTGTCTGATATAATAACAATATATAATAATTAATTTTAATTGTTTAGGGATAAATCATCAAATTCATCAAAAATCACTAAGGCGAATATGTAATAGGAAATATTCCAGATTATTTAGTCATTATAAATGAATCTGATGGTATAAAGATTGTTATTGGGTAAATTTCACGATTATTTCCTTCATCTGGTAAGGGAAATTATAATTGGAAAAAATAAATCATGAATGTAAGAATGGATTTGATATAAGAAAAGAAGAATCAATAAAAGGTAAGAATTTAAGCAATGATGAAGGGAGATCAATAATCGATGATCTTCATCAAATTCCTTTTATAGGAA